AAAATTTCCACAAAACCCTCAAAAAAGCCGCCAAAATCCATCTAAAAACCCGCAAAAAATCATCAAAAAAACACAAAAAAACCCCAAAAAAACCCACAAAAAAACCCAAAAATCACCCAAAAAACCACCAAAAATCACAAAAAAAACCCCAATAAAAAGCACAAAAAACCCAAAAAAACCCACCAAAAAACCACCAAAAATCGCCCAATAAATCACCCAAAAATCCACCTAAAACCCCAAAAAAATCCCCAAAATTTCCACAAAACCCTCAAAAAAGCCGCCAAAATCCATCTAAAAACCCGCAAAAAATCATCAAAAAAACACAAAAAAACCCAAAAAAAACCCACAAAAAAACCCAAAAATCACCCAAAAAACCACCAAAAATCACAAAAAAAAACTCCAAAAAAAAGTACAAAAAACCCAAAAAAAAACACCAAAAAACCACCAAAAATCGCCCCAAAAACCACCAAAAATCACCAAAAACATCCCCCTTTCCCCGCAGACGTGGCGTTCCTGTCGTTCTTCTTCCGGCGCCTGCAGCGGAACCGCAGCGGGCGCTACGAGGCGCAGTTCCCGTTCGTGTCGCGCTGCGGCCGCGAGCGGAATTTCCTGCGCTGCTCCGACCTGGCCGTGGTTTTCACCGCAATCCTGCCCGGCGGTGGCGAGTGCCGCCTGTCGTACTGCGGCGGCGGCGCCGAGCTGACGGTGCCGTTCCGGCCGGGAGCGCTGGCCGTGCTCCCCGAGAACGGGCGTCTCTACCACCCGGCGCCGGAGCGCGTCGGCGGCGTCGGGTTGGTGCGCTCGGCGTTGGCCCAGGAGTTGAGCTCGGGGTTTCGCTTCGAGGACGGGCCCCAAAAGCCCCCGACGCATTTCTGGTGGGAAGGGACGGAGTATCGGCTGTCCGGGGAAATTTTGGGAATTCTGCGGGCGGAGAAGTCGGGATTGGAGGTTGGCGCGGCGATTTCGACGTCCTAAAGGTCTAAAACGGCCGGGAAATCCTAAAGAAATCCTAAAGAAATCCAAATTAAATCCTAATGAAATCCTAATGAAATCCTAATGAAATCCCAAAGAAATCCTAAAGAAATCCAAATTAAATCCTAATGAAATCCTAATGAAATCCTAATGAAATCCCAAAGAAATCCTAAAGAAGTCCTAATGAAATCCTCAAGAAATCCTAATGAAATCCTAAAGAAATCTGAATGAAATCCTAAAGAAATCCTCAAGAAATCCTCAAGAAATCCTAATGAAATCCTAAAGAAATCCTAATGAAATCCCAAAGAAATCCTAAAGAAATCCTAAAGAAATGCGAATGAAATCCTAATGGAATCCTAAAGAAATCCCAAAGAAATCCTAATGAAATCCTAATAAAATCCTAAACAAATCCGAATTAAATCCTAAAGAAATCCGAATTAAATCCTCAAGAAATCCTAATGAAATCCGAATTAAATCCTAATGGAATCCTAAAGAAATCCAAATTAAATCCTAATGAAATCCTAAAGAAATCCTAAAGAAATCCTAATGGAATCCTAAAGAAATCCTAATGGAATCCTAATGAAATCCTAATGAAATCCTAAAGAAATCCTCAAGAAATCCTAAAGAAATCCTAATGAAATCCTAATGGAATCCTAATGGAATCCTAATGATATCCAAATTAAATCCTAATGAAATCCTAATGAAATCCTAATGGAATCCTAATGAAATCCAAATTAAATCCTAATGAAATCCTCAAGAAATCCGAATGAAATCCTCAAGAAATCCTAAAGAAATCCTAAAGAAATCCTAATGAAATCCTAAAGCAATCCTAAAGCAATCCTAATGAAATCCTAAAGAAATCCTAAAGCAATCCTAATGAAATCCTAAAGAAATCCGAATGAAATCCTAATGAAATCCTAAAGAAATCCGAATGAAATCCTCAAGAAATCCTAATGAAATCCTAAAGAAATCCTAATGAAATCCCAATGAAATCCCAATAAAATCCCAATAAAACAACTCCCTCCTGTGTTGTTTCAGGGTTCGTTTGGTTCGCTCCGCTCCCCCCTCCAGTCGCAATGGTTCGGTCCCCCCGGGGGCGGTGTCACTCCATTGGCCCCACCCCTGTCCCCCCCCTGTCAATCCCCCCCGAGCGCCTGTCCATCACCCACTGTCCCCTCCCCTCCTTCCGGAAAGTTCTCCCCTCCTCGGCGCGTGATTGGCCGGGGAACGAGGGTCCCTCCCTGTCGCATTCCCTATTGGCCGGCGGCCGTGTTTGTCACGAGGTCGTTCCCTCCCGAGTTCGCCCTCATTGGTTGAAGCGTTGGAGGCTCCGCCCCCTTCGTCATCGGCTGTGGGGTTGGGATTTGGGATGGGGGATTTGTTGGGATGGGGGATTTGGGATGGGGGATTTGGGATTTGGGATGGGGGATTTGGGATGAAATATTTGGGGATTTGGGATTGGGATTAGGGATGGGGAATTTGGGATGAAGGATTTGGGGATTTGGGATGGGGAATTTGGGATGAAGGATTTGGGAATTTGGGAGGAAGGATTTGGGAATTTGAGGATCTGGGATTTGGGATGAAAGATTTGGGGATTTAGGATGGGGAATTTGAGATGAAGGGTTTGGGGATTTGGGATGGGGGATGTGGGATAAAGGATTGGGAATGAAAAATTTGAGGATTTGGGATGAAGGATTTGAGAATTTGGGATGAAGGGTTTGAAGATTTGGGATGAAGGATTTGGGAATTTGGGATGAAGGGTTTGGGGATTTGGGATGGGGGATTTGGGAAGAAGGATTTGGGATGACGGGTTTGGGGATTTGGGAGGAAGGATTTGGGATTTGGGATGGGGGATTTGAGGATTTGGGATAGAGGATTTGGAATGAAAAATTTGAAGATTTGGGATGAAGGATTTGGGATTTGGGATTATGGGATTTCGGATGAAGGATTTGGGGATTTGGGATGAAGGATTCGGAAATTTGAGGATTTGGGATGAAGGGTTTTGGGATTTGGGATGAAGGGTTTGGGGATTTGGGATGAAGGATTTGGGATTTGGGATGGGGGATTTGGGATGAATGGTTTGGGGATTTGGGATGGGGGATTCGGGAATTTGAGGATCTGGGATTTGGGATGAAGGATTTGGGATGAAGGGTTTGGGGATTTGGAATGAAGGAATTGGGGATTTGGGGTGAAGGGTTTGGGAATTTGGGATGAAGGGTTTGGGATGAAGGATTTAGGATTTTGGATGAAGAATTTGGGGATTTGGGGTGAAGGGTTTGGGAATTTGGGAGATTTAGGTGGCGGCTTATTAATTAATAACTAATTATCCATAATTAATTAATATTTATTTTAAAATTGGGTTTGGGGATTTGGGATGAAGGATTTGAGATGAAGGATTTAGGATAAAGGATTTGGGGATTTGGGATGTAGGATTTTGGAATTTGGGATGAAGGATTTGGGGATCTGGGATAAAAGGTTTGGGAACTTTGGATCAAGGATTTGGGAATTTGGGATGAAGGGTTTGGGATGAAGGATTTAGGAATTTGGATGAAGAATTTGGGGATTTGGGGTGAAGGGTTTGGGAATTTGGGAGATTTAGGTGGCGGCTTATTAATTAATAACTAATTATCCATAATTAATTAATATTTATTTTAAAATAAACATCCCATGGGAATTAAGGGCATCCAAGAGCTTTTTCCCTCTGGACATGACAACAAAAATCCCGGGAAAAACTTTGGGGTTGGGGTGGGAAAACACCAAAACTGGACGGAAAAACACCGGGATGAGGGGGAAAATACCGGGATGGAAAAATCCTAAAAATCAGACCCAAAACATCAGGAAAAATAAAAAACCAGGCAGAAAAGCACCAAAATAAAAGGAAAAAGCACCGGGATGAGGCAGAGAATTCCCGGATTTTGGGAAGGAGGCGGCGGCGCTTTTCCGTCATGGAGGCACCGAGCTTTTCCCAAATCTCAAGGAGAAATCCAGG